CTCCTACATAAATTACCAATCAGGACAGTGATTCTAGTTTGTGTCAAGTGGATGCTAAAAGTTCACCAGAATGCAAATTGATTAAAAAAGTTTTTTATTACGTGTGCCTTTCGTCAGAAACTTAAAGTACCTTTGTCTATTTACTAATCACACCTTACCCCACCTTCCTGGTAAACTATCCTTGTAGATATCCTCCCTTCCCGGAATCTGCAAAACTAACATGCTATAGCAGACACATATCAGAAACACTTTGACTTGTGAAAATCGTCATTGTCACTAACTTGGCTGAGCACTTTATGTGAGGTAGCAATTGCTTATCACAAAACTCAGTAGGGATGTTGTTAGTCACAGTTTTCAGATTAGCAAATTGAGGTTAGAGAAGTTAAGATATGCATCCCAGACCACATGAATAGGTAGCAGAGCCTGAAGCCCTTCTGCTTCCATGGGGATTCGGTGGATCCAGGCCACATATGGTAGTGAATGCTTTTAATCCCAGCACTTGGGAGGCAGAAGCAAGCAGATCTCTCAGAGTTCCAGACCAGCCAATACCACATAATGAAATTATGTCTCAGACAGGGTATGGAAATGGGGGATGGAACTCCATAGAGAAGGGATAGCGCCACGTTCCAGGCCTCTCCCTTGAGCCACGCAGCATCCATCAGTACCACTTTCTCCTCCTCCTCCTGCTCTCTGCACTAACCCTCATACCCAGCCTCAGCTTGCCGTCTTGACAGCGGCATTATCTACACAAATGATGCCTACCCAACACTCCTGCCAATCAGTGACTTGGCTCCCCTGGGAGCTACGGGTTAACCCTTTCCTTTCCCCCTACTTTACTATTGCCCTCCCTTTATGTGACTGTACACAGATGACTCCTAGCCACAAACTCTTAGTGTCAACGCCACCTGGTCAGGGACTTCTACCATGTCCCACCTTTATTGTGCAGAGACTGCTTCACCTCTGAGCCTCCTCTGGCCTGTCCCTTTCTCTGCATTTCTCCCTTAGATTAGAATCTGTGAGCCATCATTTTAGCACTGCAGTTCCTGCCTCCCTTCATCACAGTCACCTGGAGATGAACAGATGCCCACCAGCCCCGTTGTCTGCACCCAGAACTGTGCCAGAATCATGCAACTGACTGACTGCCTTGGCCCTCGCTTTAACATCCATGATTCCACACCACGAATGGGCGTCCGTCCTAACACAACAACCCAACGAGATAGGTGGCAGACAGGGTGAAGATGATTATCTGAGCAAATGATGGAAAATTGAGAGTACTGGCCACTCTCCTTGGCTTTGGCCAGACTCTCAGCACGCCAGCCCATAAAGATTATTGTCTTTCAATCTTTGTTTACTACTGGGCAAAAAAACTAAGTGTGCTGTTTGAACAGTCCCCTTCCCCAGAGAAGGTTTGTTCTAGCAAATGATGTAGATCTTGTGTCTTTGCCACTGTCCACGAGGTGATTTCATTCCAGGAATCGCCGCCAATCTCACTGGTCTGCCGTTTTCCACTACAGCGTGAAGAAGCCAGAACAGGGCTATTGCAGCTCGGTTTCTCACACCGCTGGATTGACTGCCTCTGTACAAACTGATATGAAGGAAGCAAGAGAAGCTATAGAAAACAGAAAGGGGGCCAGAGTCAAATATTATGGGCTGTCAGTCCCAACGAGGGTCATCTATCTGGTGGGTGCTTCACCTAGCAGAAACTGAAAAGTGTGAGTCAGTACTTACATGGTCCTCAGGTGTTCCTAAGACTCCCCCAAGAATCACTCACTTTGCCATGGTCTTGACTGTGCAGGAGAAAACCACAAAGATGAACTCTATCAGGAAGGCAAAAGGGCAGAATAAAGAGAGAGGAAGTCTCCGAGAAGAGCGGTAGACCCTGAATGACATCATGAGAACCTTTCTCAAGACAGGGTTTCTTGGTGTAGCATTGGAGCCTGTACGGGAACTCCCTCTGTAAATCAGGCTGGCCTCGAACTCACATAGACTAGCCTGCCTCTGCTTCAGAATGCTGGGATTAAAGGTATGTGCCACCTCTGCCTGGCTCCATGTCCTTTAATATAGGCTGCCACCCAAAGGTGTGGCCCAGATTCAGGATGGGTCTTCTGATCTCAAGTGATTCCAATTTACAGTGGGCTTTTGCCTTTGTTGGGGTTTCTGTTGCTGTGAAGAGACACCAGGACTGAGGCAACTCTTATAAAAGAAAGCATTTAATTGGAGGCTTGCTTACAGCTTCAAAAGGTTAGTCCGGAACCAGAATGGTGAGAAACACAGCAGCCTACAGACAGGCATAGTGCTGGAGCAGTAGCGGAAAGCCTTACATCCTGATCCACAGGCAGCAACAGGCAGAGAGAAAGAGGGAGAGACAGACAGACAGACAGACAGACAGAGACAGGGAGAGACAGAGACAGATAAAGACAGAGAGCACCTGGGCCTGGAGTGAGCTTTTGAAACCTCAAAGCCCACCACTAGTGATATACCTCCTCCAACAAGGCCACGCCTCCTCCAACAAGGCCACACCTCCTCCAACAAGGCCACACCTTCTCATTCTTCCCTGACATCTCATCAATTTAGGACTAAGCATGCAAATATATGAGCCCATGGTGCCGATCTCATTTAAACCCCCAGTTTGCCCTCCTCAAATTACCTAGTTCAGAAAGACCCCTCACAATTGTGCCTTGCAACTTAGGTTTTAGGTGATTCTAGATGTAGTCATGTAGTCATGACAACTAAGATTGGCCATCACAGGCTCCCCTGAACCCGTGCTTCTAAGACAACTTCCAAATGAGGACTAGGGCTCGAATCCTCACCTTAGCTGTGTTCTCATGACTGCTTACAGGTGATGAAGAAAATCAGACAAGCACCGGCTTAGCCGGTTAGTTGGCCAATCCTCATTATCAACTGGAATCACCCGGTTCTGACATGCCTGTCAGAACGTTTTCTGAGAGGTTAAACCAAAGAGACAAAACCCATTCTTAATGTGGTGTAGTTCCATCCAATGGGTTGCGGTTTGAGACTGAATTAAAAGGGGGAAAGGAGGAAGCCAACTGAGTGCCAGTATCTCGCTGTCATGCCTCTCCTGCTGTGATGGACTATGCCCTCAAGCTGTAAGCCAAAATAGCTCTTCCTCCCTAAGGTAGCATTTTGTCAGATATTTAATCAGGCGAGCAAAGTGTACATCACCAATCATGTGCCAAGCAGGCAATGGGAAGTACACAGTACCACCTAGGAGGTTTTATTCCCCTAAATCTTCATGCAGACTGATAAAGCAACTGTGACCAAATACACAAAATGATGGCTCTAGGTTAAAATTGTACGCCCACCAGTATAAAATAGTTAGTTTTCTGTTGCTTCACCGAGACAACTTACAGAAGGAAGCTTCATTTAGGCTCATGGTTCCGGAAGTTTAGAGTCCGTAAGTGGTGGAACAGCATAGCAACAGGCAGGCGTGGTAACTGAGACAGGAAGCGGGGAACTGACACCCTCAACTATGAGCATAAAGCCAAGAGAGTGAACTGGGAATGGCATGAGGCCTTTAATCTCAAAGCCTGCCCCCCCCCCCCCCCCCCCGTGACAGTCTTCCTCTAACAGGGCGGTACCATTTAAGTTCCCAAACAGTGCCACCAACCGAGGACCTAGTGCTCAAATCCCCAAGTCTACAAAGGACACTTCTTATTCAAAATACTACAAACATTTCATATTTTTTGTTTTTCTGATTATTTTTTTTAAAACAACAAGGCGGGGGAACCAACCCTCCCATTGCTTGTGAACGGTGGTCTATGGAAACCAGCTTCCTCTCCCTGTGTGTGAAACCTGTACTTATTTTCTAGTACATTAACTAACTGTGAATAAATTGGTTGACTTTCATTCAATTAAAATCATGGTTAATATAGCTAGATATTAAATAACAGAGTTATCTATTATAAAATTTTGATCTCTTAGGGAAGGAGATCTATGCACCATCTTGCTTCTGGGTCAGTCTGGACCCAAAATACAGCATTGACCCAATGTCTACACACACATATGCACATCACACCAAAGACAGAAGTTTCCAAATTTCAACTGACTTTCCTTTTTCTTTTTTCTTTTCTTTCTTTTTCTTTCTTTCTGTCTTTCTTTCTTTCTTTTTTTTTTTAGCACTTTTAGTATCTGAGATTTAGATTCTCCATCCTTTTCAAGGTTATTATAAAATGTTGTAGACTTAATGCATGGAACAAACCTTTTAAATGTATTTTCTCACTCAATTATTTAGACTTAATGTTTATGCGACAGTGTTGAGATTCTGAACAGGTTTCCATCATATTTAAAGTATTGCTACTCTCCGGACACCTCGGGGTAATTTCTGACATTATGACAAATATAAAAACTGAATGGCTGAACTTGTGGGTATAAAGTAGTTATATTATAGCATTATAAATTATCTCTCAAAAGAACCCATTCAGTCACATATTAGAGTTCATTTCTCTAACATAAAATTTCATGTCTACACAGGGAAATCTCAGGAACAGTTTCTTTATATGGTTCTAGGCTTTCCTTCCAGTATGACTAGAAAAATGCCTTTGGCATTACTGCAGAATACAAAAAGAACAATATACCTTACATGGCCATAATTGCTAGGAATAGCTATAAAATGTAGCTATGTATCTATTTAAGCATGTATTTTAAATTTAATAGCTATTATATGTAAAAGAAAGCAAAATTTTAATTGGTAAAGTGACAATGGAGTAGACACAGACTCTGTCTTTTCTCCTCACTGTAGGCTGTGTTCAGTGTTTCAGACTAATGCTGTACCAGCTCCCATGATACCCTGTTCTGGTTTTCTTCTGGGAGCTCTGACTCCCCAGCTTTATTCACCTTTCAAAATTTCCTTTTTAAAAAAAAAAAAACTGCTATTCAAATACCTTCCCCTAGAGCCTTTGCCGGCTCTAGCCTTGCTCTACAGTCTCTTTGAGGGTCCTCCCCTTGGCATCAGCTACCACTGAAGATTCCCAGACATGTACCTTGAACCAAAGTTTATCCTCAGAGCTCCGAAACCAGCTGCACATTTCCGTACTGGACGTCTCTGCTTGAATGACCCACTGTTGCTCAGAGCACGTGTCCACTCCTCACAAAGCTTTAGTCTTCTTCTTCCTGTGTTCCCTTGATCATCAGATCATCCCTTCATCTCGGCACCAAGCTCATCTTGTTTTTAAGAAAAGGTTTCTCACTGAACCTGGAGCTTGCATTTCACTTAGACTAATCAGCAGCACCCCAGGATCAGGGTTATAGATGAATGTAGTCAATCTCTGGCTTCCTAATACTCTCTCTCTCTCTCTCTCTCTCTCTCTCTCTCTCTCTCTCACACACACACACACACACACACACACACACACATTCTCACTCTCTCTCACAACACATTCTCTCTCATACACACAAACACACACACACACACACACTCTTTCTCTCCTCTCTCTCTCTCTCTCTCTCTCACACACACACACACACACACACACACACACACACACACACAGCCCTCTGGGATTCTCTGAGACAACAACTTTATTGTTGTTGCAACTGTTCTCTGCCCCCCCTCTCTCTCTCCCCGAAGTTGATCAATAAGTGCCTTGATTCTATAAGCTAATAGCTTTTAAATCTTTCTCATCTCTCCATCTTTGCTTTTAATGATTTTGTTGATAGCTCAATAGTTTCAGTAATTTTCCAAAAATATCTCCCTCTTCGGGAGACTGTGAATCTACTCTTTACGCTGCTGTTAGAATGATGTTCTTAATATGCAAATGATGTTCTCCCCTTTCCATGCTTAGCTCTCTCCGTAGCTCCCCGTTACTCTTTTTTTTTAAATATTTATTTATTTATTATGTATACAATATTCTGTCTCTGTGTGTTTGCAGACCAGAAGAGGGTAGCAGACTTCGTTACAGATGTTTGTGAGCCACCATGTGGTTGTCATGACCTTTGGAAGAGAAGGCAAATAAGCAACTCCCCGTTACTCTTAAGGGAAACCCAAATCCCCCGAAATGTGCTACGTGGCCCTTTTCCTATTCACACCCTTCACACCACGTTAACAAATCGCCCAGGATCGCTGGGTCTTACTCCACTGCCTCGCACCTCACTGTCTTTGTACGTAGGGCTTTTCTTCCCAAGAATGCCTGTCTACCACTGGCTTGCTTACCTAATGCCTGCTACCCTTGGAGGCAGCTCATTCCCATCTTATCTGGGAAGCCTGCCCTCCCTCAGTATGTAGGCTCAGGTATTTCTCTGTGTGCTGACACGATGCTAAATTTATACATCAATTGCACTCTACAATATGATAATATTGGCTTATCTTCCTCTCTCTACCTTGCACTGATTGGAAAATTCTTAGGCATCAGAACTCATTAAATATTTACGAAATGGAATTCTATATTAAAACTTAAATTGAAGAAAACTTTTAGCATATCATTTATAGCATCAAATTTAGCAATGGTGCCGATAGTCACAAACAGATGGTTCACTTTTTAGGGTACCAAATAATCCAAGATATACTGCTTTAGAAAGGAAAAAGAAAGTTTTTAAATGGCCTCCAGAGGTTGTAACCAGAGATCAGGAGTAAAGGGCATAAAGAGACATTGATCAAAAGGAAGAAAAGTCAGTTATGCAGTGGAATAAGCCCAAGAATTCTGTTACAACCAAGTTTGAAGGTAAATACCTGAATGCCCAGTACCTGAGAGGGTGAAGCAGGACAATTGCAAATTTGAGGGTAAGATCCTGCCTTGAAAATAAAATTGAGCTGGAGAGATGGCTCAGTCAATAAAGTACTTGTCTTACATGCATAAAGACTTAAGTTTGGTTCCCAGAAACCACATTAAAAATTGAAAGTCACTGGGCAGTAGTATCACATGCCTTTAATCCTAGCACTTGGGAGGCAGAGGGAGGTGGATCTCTGTGAGTTCGAGGCCAGCCTGGTTTACAGAGTGAGTTCCAGGAAAAGCAGGGCTGCACAGAGAAACCCTGTCTCCAAAACCAAAAATATATAAAGGAAGGAAGGAAGGAAGGAAGGGAGGGAGGGAGGAAGGAAGGGAAAGAGGGAGGGAGAGAGGGAGGGAGAGAGGGAGGGAGGGAGGGAAGAAGGGGAAAGGAAGGATGGAAGTCTGATATGAGTAGTTTATAAACCACTATTGGGAAGGTGTAGACAGCCAGTCCTGCGGCTCACTGCCAAGCCTTTCTATGTAATCCAGTGAGTTCCAGGCCAAAAAGAGATCTTCTATTAAAAAATATGGATAGCATCTGAGAACTGATATCCAAGGCCTCCACATGTATGGCCTTGCACACACATGAACACAGACATATATGTTTTACAGTTAATATCTGTATATTATAAACACAAACATGACAAACATATGAGGCAATGCATAGTAAATATTTCGTCATTTCATCACGTACACATATCAAAACATTGTGTTGCACAGTACATACAAATTCTACCCGTTGATTAAAAAACCAAAATAATTGTTGAAATTAAAACAACGAAACGCTCTACAGAAAGTTGCTGTGCTACCTTAAGCTTTCTAATGGCTTTATGGTCGAATTGTCAATAGCAGGTGCTGCTCTACGTTATCAGCGAGTTTTTTTCTTGTCTGAAAAATGGAACCAGTTTTCAACAGTCCTGACACCGCTCTGACTTTCCAGGCTGCGTTCATTTGAAATGTAGCTGGCTGGAGACTTGAAGAGAACGTCCTCTTTTATCATTTATGGAACAAGTACTGCAGGCTCGATCATCTTTATGGGAGTCATCCGAACCAATGATTTGTGACAGCATCGGCCGATGTTTTGCAGACTCTCCACATCTCCCTCCAGGGGTGACTGTACGCCCTCATAGCCCACCGCCAACAGTCGCTGAAGGAGCCAGGCACCTGCTAACGTAAGTTCCTGGAGGCTCACTACCTCATTGTATGATGCTATTTGACAGAAATCCCTCCTCCTGTTTTCAATCATTTTTGGCTATGAGGTTATCAAATTATGATAACAGGAGGATTAGAATCTTTTCAAAACACCTTCCTGTCTGGGTTTTTTCTTCAACAGCAAAATGAGATTATTTTTATGAAAAGAAGACTTGTTGCAATCTCCCACTCCTTTGTATTTTCAGTCTGCTTTCTGTGGAAAGGAAACTCGTTCCTTTGGCATGGAAAAGTGGGAATATTTAGCTTAGTCCTGTGAAATACCATTTAAGGGCTAGGATAATAGATGATGCTCAATCTCTTTTCTTTTTGCTCCATAAACATGGGGAAAGTTAGACAAGAGTCCTGAGTACTCAAAGATTAGAAGACAGTATTACAAAGGAGTCTTCGACAATGGTTCAGCACCATGGACTAGGGACAGTCGTCCGCTGCCCCTTGTGGCTGGATTTTATATCATTTCTTCATATTCTATGTATACATCATTACCTAAAATAATTGTATTAAATAATTGTTTAGAATATAAAATGAAAAATGTTTCAACTTCTGCTTGTAACTATTTTATCAAAAAATTAAGCTGTGTTAAAATAAAATATATGCAAGACAGAGTATTGACTTATTCTATTTTCTGTTGTATGAAACACTTGAGGCAGACAACCTGCAAGGAAAGACTTACTTGGACTCCTGGCTGCAGAGGTATGGTCCACAGTCATTTGGCCCTGTTGTCTTTGAGCCAATAGCAAGGCAGCATAACATAGCATTGTGTGGTCAAGAGCCTACTCGCTTTGTGGCAGCCGAGAAGTAAAAGAGAGGAAGAGGGGAGAGACCCAATGCATGCCCAATGGTCTGGTCCCATTCCACTAGGCTCTGCCTCCTAAAGGTTCCACCACCCCTGAAGAGCGTACCAGGTTTTCAGGGACAGTCAAGATCCACACTTTACCAGAAGCTTTACAATGGCTATCTTCTAGGGGCTGGAGCTGAGAGAATAGGAACGAGGCTCCACAGTATCACTGGCAATGACAGCACCCAACCAGCAGGGGTCACTTGGCAGACCCTAACAGCAAAAGGCAAAGTGGATGCAATTAGCGTTAGTTACAGCAAGATTGGAATGGCAGCCAGAAAGATCTAACGCGTAGAGGTCCAAGGCTATGCCTTGTGGACAATAGCATTCCCAGAAGCCTGAAGGTGTTGCCTGATCTAGTGGATCAAAGGAGATCGAGAATGGATGACCATAAGGCAGAGATCAGCTGAGCGAAGGCCACAAAACATCATCATGTCACTAAGTTAAAGGAAAGGCCATGCGACGTTAAGCTGAGGAAGAAAAAAAAAACAAAACAAAAGCAGAGCTCTTCCTGAGATCCTTCTCAGGAGGGCTAACATAGACTCTGCTCACGGCCGTCTCCTGGGTTGTAGGACTCACAGGCAGGGTGGCCCATACTCAGTACTTGGCAGCAGGTACACGCTTCTGCAGTTTGTGAACTAACAGCTACAATAAAGGAAAAGGGTAAATCAAAAATACTATAAAAACTTGCATATGAATGGTTGTAGATGTGAGTAAAGTCTCTATATTGTTAATTGTGTAAATCAGATCTGATTCCTATAGTCAAAGGCTGTGTTAGGAGGAACACAGGTTTCAGGCCAACTTAGGTTATCACTTTCAGATAGTGAGTCTCTGTCTGGAAGAAGAAGAAGACAAAGAAGGAGAAGGAGAAAAAGAAGGAGCAGAAGAGGGAGGGGAAGAGGATGAGGAAAGAGAATAAGGAAGAGGAAGAAGAGGAGATGAACAAGAGGAGGAAAAGAAGGAGAAGGACAGGAGGATAGGAGGAGGAAGAGGAGGAAGAGAAGGAGGAAATACCCTTGAGCAAAGAGCAGTCTTTCAGCACTAGTGGGGGCTGCAGAAGGAGTTTGTTCTATCAGTCTCCTCTTTCTGGAACACTCATCTTCAGATATCTGTACCCTTGGCCAACTCCTCTCCTCTTAGTCCTGAACACACCTCTTATCTCACTAAACTGACTGCAGCCAAGTTTATGAGTCTTGAGGCTTCAGCTGACGCTTCTGACTAGGCTGTAGCTCTGAAAAGCTATTGCACCTATAAAGGGAATTGTCATTTGTGAGGTGATCACTCCCTCTGTACCAGGAAGAAAATGATAACAAGACCTCCAGAGACCGAAGGAAAGTTTGACTGAACTATGCGTAGCAAACCTTATTTTTGTTTAAGGTGCCTGCCTTCCCATTTCTTAACCATTTAAAAAAAAGAAAGACCTTTCCACACACCAGTCTTCCTTTGTTTTTGGCAAGGAAGCTATTTAAACCTGAGGCTTAAACCCTTTCTTTGCAATCTACTCTAGAGATT